TAATAAAATTATGCTAATGAGAAAATAAGCATGGCATTAAGATATAGATAATACGAGAAAATTACATAGAATCATGTAAAGTAAGATTGAGAACAAGAAGAAAATGAAATATAATAATATAAAATAATTAAAAATTAAACTTTTTAACAAAATTTTTTTAAGAAATTAAATAAAAAATAAAAAAAAGAACTTAAAAATAATAAGAAAGTAAAAAAGAATTAAAACAAAAAAATAAAAATAGAAATAAAAAAAAGAAATTAAAAGTAATCAGGTGGTAATTACGCCATGTAATTACCAGCAATTCACAGCCTCTGCCTGTGAATTGTAGAGGGTAATTACCCCCTGCCAATTACACCAATTACCTGTTGACCAAGTAATTACATGTCCTTCCAAACAGGACAAGACAGTGTAATTACACCAATTACACCAAATCCAATTACCAGGGTGTCCTTCCAAACAAGCCCTAAAAGAAAATCAAATCAATTAAGTGAGTTTTTTAAATATTAAAGTCAAATCAATTAAGTGAATTGGTCCAGATGGTTTTACAGGTTTTTTTTTTTTATCAAATATGTTGGGACATAGTTGGTGATGATTTATGAAAGTTAGTTACTGCTTTCTTTGAGGGAAATTCACTTCCTAAATATATTACCCACACTAACCTTGTGTTGTTGCCTAAAATGAACGAAACCCATACCTTTTTAGATCTAAGGCCTATCAATTTGAGTAACTTTGTCAATAAATTTATTTCTAGAGTGGTGCATGACATATTTGAGATGGTGCTTCCAAGATTAATCTCTTCCAACCAATCAGGTTTTGTAAAAGGAAGAAACATTATTGAAAATGTTTTACTCACTCAGAAGATTGCTTTAGATATTACCAAATGGGGAAAACCAGTCAATGTCATTATCAAGCTTGATATGACAAAGGCCTATGGCAGAGTCTCTTGGTTCTACTTTATGAAAGTCCTAAGGAAGATGGGATTCTCAGAGGTTTTTGTTGATACCATTTGGAGGATAATTGCTAACAATTAGTATTCAGTGTTGGTAAATGGACATGCACAAGGCTTTTTTCACTCTTCTAGAGGAGTAAAACAGGGGGACATATTGTCTCCTGCTTTGTTTATTCTCGGTGTTGAAGTTCTTTCTAGGTCTCTCAATTCTTTGTTTAATGATGGCCAATATGTGGGATATGACATGCCTAAATGGAGTGCAAATCTTAATCATCTTGCTTATGCAGATGACACAATTATTTTTTGCAGGTGCACATGAAAAGTCTCTCAACAGAATTATGAAAAATTTGTGCAGATATGAATCTCAATCTGGACAATTAATCAACAAAGAAAAGAGTGTATGGTACATGCATCAGAACACGAGTGCTCAACTAAGAATGTTAGTTGATAGATGTACAAGTATCTCAAGAGGCCAGTTCCCTATTACTTATTTAGGTGTCATATCACCCATGCTAAAAAGAGAAAAAGTGATTACAATGAACTAATCAAGAAGGTGAATGACAAGTTGCACACATGGAAAGGGAAAATGCTTTCTTTTGGTGGTAAGGCCACTTTGATCAACAGTGTACTACAAAGTATCCCTATTCATACTCTTTCGGCAATTGTCCCCCTTAAATGTGTTATTAATGAATTACACAAGATTTTTGCTAATTTTTTTATAGAACAATAAGGAGATAGGGAGAAGTAACACTGGGCTAATTGGCAGAGAATTTGCTTACCTAAAGCAGAAGGGGGTCTTGGTTTCAAATCTTTATTTGATGTTTCCAAAGATATGTTTGCAAAATTATGGTGAAAATTTAGAACTGATAATTCTTTATGGGCCAATTTTATGTGGAATAACTATTGCAAAAAAAGATATTCCCACTTTGGTTAAATGGAAAGGTGGCTCTCAAGTGTGGAAGATGATGTTTGAGAATAGAGAAAACTGATGTACCGTGAGTTTACGATATTTATGACGCATTATACTTGAAGTTTGCATCCGTCTTAA